CAGACACGGGTCACAACGAGGCGTTCCCCATAGCGACCCCTAGAGGACGCAGTTCGAAGTTCCCATGAAAGGGAACCAGCAGATTACCAACGAAATTTGATCATTAATGTATTTTTTCCCCAGCCTTTAACAAAAATGTTGGATGGGTTGGGGATCTCCCACAAAATAAATGCTTAATATGTTAAATTACCAGCACTGACCAGCATAGTTAATTTTATATTTTGTCCTCTCCTAGCGGTTTAATATAAGATTGAATAAATATATAATATATTTTGTGATTCCTGTTGTGTTGAGTGTAACTGATGGTGAAATGTACTCACTTGAGTATCTTCAGTTCACACACAGGATTCTTCAGTCCCTCACAGATCTCTTTGACTCCTGAGTCCAGCAGACAGCTGTTGTTCAGGTTCATCTCTTTCAGGATGGTTTTGGAGGAGAGAACAGTAGCTAGAACTGAACAGCTTTTCTCTGTCAGCTCACAATTATTCAGCCTAAACACAAAAAAAAATATTTTTTTTAACACAAATTAGATCAATAGGTCTTTATACAGTGGGCCTCATTTACGAAACGAACGTACGAGAGAAAATTGGGCGTACGGTCGTTTCAATGCAAAACTTGTAATTTATCAATGTAGCGTCTCGACCAATCTGACACACTAATTTTTATTTGATTTAACAAATCAATTATTCATTAGATTAACAAATCGTCACAGTCCCCTCACCTGAACTTGCGCGCAGCATGTCAATATGGTGGAGAATTGTAGAATGACAGCATTTTGTTAATTTTTATTTTCCTGACCATCAACTGAAGCTCATTAGTCGATAGTTAACCAGTAAGATTAGAATGTCTTTTTTTTGGTTTTATGCAGGGCTTTAGCTTTATATGCGCGGATAGCAGCGTAAACAAGACCATGAGGATTCAATCATCGCATTATGCACCTTCAGCGCTTCTGTGAAAGGAGAAAAAAAATGTATTAAGTCTATAAAAGGAATAAAATAAAAAGGATCACACAAATTATATAGACAGGCTCGTGAGCCCAATGCCGTTTCAGTTTTGCTTGACATTTGTATGCTGTTTATAATGAATGCCACTATAGCCTAATTTGTTTTATTTAATAGTTTAATATATAATTTTATAATTACTTATTTTTCATTCTTGTTACCGTTAAATTTAAAATATTTGTTGTAGAGTGAGGGGAACTAAATAGGCTGTTTATATTTACCAGTATTTTAATATAAATTACATAAATTAATGTAGCCAAATTGTTTGGAATTACAAGGTTAACGGGTGTTTTTGGAGTAAGATCAATTTCTCTCTTCGTTTCTCCGTATTGTAAACTCTAGGGGCGAGGCTTCTAAACCAGGGTGTTTTTAGGGGCGTGATATTCAAATGACGATTGTTTTCTGCCGCCACATTTATCAACATGCGATCATTCATATGAGATTGGCGGCATACGAATGTGTCATGAATCACACATGAACTCTGTCGTAAGTAGATTTGTGCGCACGGATCTGTGCTCTTTTCTACATTAGATTGATAAATGAGGCCCAGTATGTTTACCCACACATGGCTGATAGTCTTTATAATGAATAAAGAAGTTATAATGTATTATATTATATAATATATTATATATGTAGCTTTAAGGAAGCTACATATATTATATATGCATTTATATTATATATGCAGGCCTTTAAGAAAATAATCATAATGTTCAGGTCATAGTTAGAAGAGAGGGGTTACTGTGTGAACACTGGTGACCATAAATCTGAATAAAAAGTTCCACAAGGCTTGATTCTTGCACTGTTCCTGTTTAACTTGTATATGGTTTCACTAGGCAAAATAATAAAAAAGAACCAAACTGATCATCACAGCTTTGCAGATGACATCCAGATCTACTTAAGTCTATCACCCAGTGACTACAGTCCCACTGACTCCTTGAGCCAGTGTATTGATCAAAGTAACAGTTGGATGCACCAATTCTTCCTTTAAATAACCAAGACAAACAGTGGTTATTGTATTTGGCAAAAAGGATGAAATTCTCAAGGTTAACCCAAAACTTTGGTAAATCCAGAATTTTAGGGATCACAAAACTAAACATCAAGTCAAGAATATAGGTGTGATTTAGGATTTCAGTAGTCACGTCAAGTGATAACTTAATCAGCAAACTATCATATCAAGATACAGCAAGACATAGATGATTTTTAGATCCCACTACAACTTGATACAATTGTTAAATGCTTTTATAACTAGCAAAATGGACTATAATCACCTCACTTACAATCACCTGCCTTCTCAAAAAGACCATTAGACAGCTGCAGCTCATACAGAGCACAATGCTTCCAGGATTATGACCAGAACCAGAACATCACACTCAGGTTCTAACATTGGCTTCCATGTACAGTTAGAATTGCTTTTATAGTATTATTGCCTGTTCATTTATTCAGTGGCCAATTACTAAGAGACAATGAGGATATGATAAATGAATAAAATAGGGTTGAGCCAGTTAGAAATACCTAATGGCAAAAACTGAGTTACAAAAATACAAGAGATGCATAAAAAAAGGATTATACAAGCCATTTTACATTTACATACAGAAATACTAAGGTTCAAAACAAGGTTTGTTTATGTTCAACAACACAAGAAAAGTCAGTAGGCACATTCAAATCCAGACTATAATCACTGTTTAACACTGTATTATCTGAGCACTGGAGCACTGTGACTGATTTCACTGTATTATTTTATTTCTGTATTTTTCTCTTATTTCATTTAAAATATGTTTTACATTTCTACATTTCTTTTTATGAGAATTGTTAATCACTTTTTTTGTATAGCACTTTGAATTTTCATACATGTTCTACATGAATAACCTTGCCTATAAAATCACGTTGACTCACTTCAATTTCTCCAG